TATTAGGAGTAGCTGACTTGGCCCAACGACGGACACTTGTTGACGGGTCTCTTGAGGGTCAAAGTCAGATATATATATAAAATAAAAAATATAAAAAAAAACTTGTCGAGGACTCTTCCTGATGACGGACTAGGTGGACAATACTCTTGAGGGAAGTAGTCCATGTAGAATTTTTTATTTTATTTTCTTCTTTTAGGTAGTGTAGTGCCTCCCCCTTGTTTTTTCTTTTGACCACGGTTCTTTTCCAAGGGTTTTTCTTGAATCGGGTTAGGTAGATTTTTTCTTTTGTAGTTTTAGGATTAGATGGGTGAAGGTCAGAATGTAACCCCAAATGTGCACACTTACAAAGAAAAGAACTTGAGAGTGGGCGTCTAAGCTTGTTTGTGGACTCATAATATATGCCTTAATTTTGCACATCTTGTCTGGCTTGAACACTCGTATAATGATGTTGATGAACTGATTCGGAATGAGTTACATGCTAAGTGTGTGTGAGTTGTTACTTGCATCCTATGCTTGCATATGATACCTAGAACTTGCCCTGTGTGTTTGCAAAGCGAAATAGAAGTCGTTTGGTTTTAGAGATGATTGAGGTATTTCTTTGTGCAAACCTCTATACTTGAGAATCCACCTGTGCATATTACCATAGTTACCCCCTTGAGCCTGAAGCATGTTCTTTGATAACCCTGTAATGATCTAAATCGCTGTGTTTGAATAAGCTAATTGTTTGAACCTTTACCTCATAGAAGCACTTGAATCACTAAAGAATATACAAAAGTCAAAGTGTGGGGTGGGAGAGAGTTAGTGAAAAAAAAAAGGGGAATCAAGAATGAAGGTTCTGGTTGGTGAACTGGCAGTGTACAATAAATCTGAAAAAAAAGAGAAAAGAAAAGAAAAAGAAGAAGCCAGTTGTACCTAAAGAAAAGTGGGGGTCACAAGTGAAACAAAATGTGGAATAATGATCGGGTTGAACATGAAGGTGAAACAAAAGGAAGTGTGTATTAAAAGTGCTTAGGGAGGTTAGTCACTATATCCAAATATATCCTCCCCGTCCCTTAGCCTACATTACAACCTATAAAGACCTCTTGATCTTTGACAGAATGGCTCGATTAGTGGAGTATTACACTAGGGGCAAGCTTATGGTGTGTCTGTGTGGCATGTGAATGCTCTTTGTTGAGAGTGAGTGAATTCTTTCTATATATGGTTCCTTGTTGTTGAATTTTGTGTGTGTGGAACTTCTCTCAAATTTTGTTTATGTGAGGGCATGTGACTCAGGAAGAAAAAGTGAGTCTTCACTTCTGTTAGAGTAATTAGAGTGAGCACAAGCGTGTCTTGGCATGAGAGTTTGCATTTGAGATATGATTGTGCACCGCTTAGGTCGATCTTTGACAATAGCAGGTGTGACATAAATTGGGGCAATGCATTGAACAGTTAGGCCTAGAAGTGTGGTTTACTTTGCTTGAGGACGAGCAAAGGTTTAAGTGTGGGGTGTTGATAATAGGTGAATTTGACTATAATCACACCTTAAATAATCACCTTCTTGTGTAGTTTTAATGCTAAAAGTGATAACAAAATGCTCTTATTAGTGCTTTTCATGATTTGCAGGTGATATATGTATAAGGAAGGCTAAGGAGCAGTTTTGGAGTTAAAATTGTTGAAAAAGAGGCCAACTGTGAAATTTCCCAAGTGAACCATGCAAAACAGGCCGAAGATTCAGAGCACTGGGTCCACCGCGGTTCCACCGCGACCGCGGCAGAACCGCGGTGGAAAGCAGCTGCAGAACTTCAGGGATTCCGCGCAGGCGCAGAAACTTCAGGGACCAAAGTGTCAATTACGGGATTTTTAGACCTAAACCCTATTTACTACATTAGACTTCGCCCAAGAGAGGCATGTATTGATTTTTAAGGTTTCTTAGCAGGAAAAACCATTGTGAGAGAATACTCCAACCATCTTTCTTCTTTTCTTTTGATTTTTATGATGAATTCAATCTTAGTTTATTTTCCCATAGCCATGAGTAGCTAAATTTCTTGTCTAAGGTTTTGATGGAACCTATTGGGTGATGAACTTCTTGTTTATGTGAATACAAATTGCTAGTTTAATCTCTATTTGTTCAACTTCGTGTTCGTTGTAGTTAATTGACAGGATCCTCAATTAGCTGTGCCTATTTAGTGTGCATAACTTGGAAAAGAGTGCATATTTAGGGTATTGTTGAACAACACCACTCCTAGATTATTAGAGGAATCTATAATTGCGGGTTTAAAGGCGGGATTAGGGATAACGAAGCCTTGGGTGTAATCTAAAGTGAATCGTGCTAAATAAAGTAAGCTAGTGTATCTCGGGAGAGTGCAATAGTAAATTACTGTGATTACTCGGGAGAGATTTGTAGTAAGATTAGCGTTCATGATTGATAGAGAGGTGTTGGTAAATTTGTATGAGCATAAACATAAGTGATTCCATCAATAGGGGAAATCATTGCCTTAGCTTTTTCTCATAATTGTTTACAACCTCATTAGTTTAGTTTACAGCTATTTAGTTACTTGCAAGCTAGTCGTTAAAGAACACTCAACTGAGATTTGAATATTTGGGAAGGTGGTTCTGAAGAATTAGTGGGTCTGAAGATAGTGGTTGATTGGTTAACTCTCTGTGGATTCGACCCTGGGCATAATACTCGGGTTATATTTGCAACTTCCGCAGAGTCCTTTTTCTAAGGCATAGTTGGGCATGATCAGTGTTTCATATTGTACCTTTCAGCTTTATCTAGAAGCAATTGTAATAGGTATTTTGAGTATTCAAGTTAGAGTTAACTTGAAGTTGTCGCAGCAGTTAGAGGCTGGTTGCCACAACGGGATTTGAGTTTAATCCTTAGGTTTACAAGAGTTTTGTAAATGCAGTTTTGGCTCAGTGATTTTAGTGGAAGTTTGGAAAAATCCTACTGAGTAGTAGGTCGTGGTTTTTTCACCTTTTGAGCCAGGTATTTTCCACGTAAAAATCTCTGTGTTCTTTATTTTATGCACTCTTAATTCCGCAAACAGTAATAATTAGTACACCTAGAAGAACCAGGTTCTTCTAGAGCGAAAATTAGGTACCACACAACTCACCCCCCCCCCCCCCTCTTGTGTGGTATTGACGTGTAGAACATCATGTTATGAACTCAAACCTTCATTTTTGAAATTTAACACTGCTGCCCAGTTATCCTTCATCGTGAACGCGACCATCTTCCCACGTTCGCGTAGCACAAAACATTCTGCCCCTCTAACTTACCTTACGTGAATGCGGAGACCTCCACGCGAACGAGAACCAGTTCTTCCTCAAACCTACGCGATCGCGTAGAACAAACGCGTGACCCCAGCTTCTGCCTCCTATACCCTATGCGAACGCGACCTTAGCCACCCGTTCGCAAATCACAACATCCCATTACTACGCGATCACAGCCTCCTTCTCGCGAACGCGCAGAACAAAGTCCTCCACTGCCCAGCTAAGCCTACGCGATCGCGGACCTTCCCACGCTATCGCGTATAAGGAAACCAGATCAGAGACACCAGAAAACTTCAGCCCATCCCTAAGTCCAAAAATTGATCCTTTAACCATCCGAAACTCACCCGAGGCCCCCGGGACCTCAACCAAGCATACCGTCAAGTCCTAAAACATCATACAAACTTAGTCGAGCCCTCAAATCACATCAAACAATGCTAAAACCACGAATCGCGCATTGATTCAAGCCTAATAAATTTTGAACTTCTAAATTCTACATTCGATGCCGAAACCTATCAAATCACGTCCGATTGACCTCAAATTTTGCACACAAGTCAAAAAAGACACCACGAGCCTATTCCAACTCCTGGAACCTCAATCCGAGCCCAGTAACCATAAAGTCTACTCTCGGTCAAACTTCCAAATTTCCAACTTTCGCTATTTCAAGCCTAATTCCACTACGGACCTCCAAATCACAATCCAGACACACTCCTAAGTCCAAAATCACCCAACGAAGCTCACGAAACCATCAAAACTCCATTTCGAAGTCGTTTACACACAAATCAACATCCGGTCAACCTTTTTAACTTAAGCTTTCAACCTTGAGACTAAGTGTCTCAACTCATCCCGAAACCTCTCTGGACCCGAACCAACTGCCCCGGCAAGTCACATAATAACCGTAAAGCATAAAATAAGCAGTAAATGGGGGGAGCGGGGCTACAACTCTCAAAACGACCGGCCGGGTCGTTACGATTTTAGAGGTAGTTCTAATTGGCTCTAATTGGGCGGTAGAGACGTGTCTAGAATAGTTTTAGGAACCTGATCTATTTAATTATGCATGAAGGAAATCATGATTATGGGATATGATCAAGTGACTCGGAACTTGGTCTTCATGACGCGAAAATTTAACAGTTCGTTACAACTATCTATTGTAAAGGAGGTAAATACCAAGGTGCCAAGCAACTAGATTCATTGATTGATTTTCTAAATGCGACCAAAAGGCCTTTTTAGATTAAGGATATTTTTATCATATTAAATATCTAATCTCTTGTCATCATGCCATTAGAAAAGTTAGATATTTTCACACTTAGACTAACTACACACTTAATTAAAATATAACCAATCATTGAGGAAAACCATAGATGTCTTAAATCATCTTGATCAAACCGAGCGGTTTCTCACATATTTTACCAACAAATGACATGAGATTGAGACACAATTAATTGTGTGAGAACTTATAAAGGCGCTAAATAAAAAGAAAAATAAGATAAAGGTTGTTCGATAAATAACCTTTTCATCTTTCATTGGGGAAGGAGTGATTACAGTTTACAAGGACATTTTGAAAAAAAAAATATAAAATATTTCTCAATTCTAGACTTCTAGATAGAGAAAAATAGAACCCATAAGTGGCAGTATAAACAGTGGTAGTAACAGTGATAAGGGCGTAAATGCAAACCAAAACATAAGAGGGACAAACATGGATAAAGCAACAAAAAATGAAGGACATGAAAGCAAAAAGATACACATAAAATAATAGCAGTATCAGCGAGAAGTTAGGGTTTTTATTCACATTTGCACGCAGACATTTTTATTCCTTCAAAATTCCACTTTCAGTCTGCAAAAATTCCAATCATCAAAACCCAATAATTTAATCAATTGTAAGTTTCACTCAATTCCCTTTTAGCTACTTTATTTTTATGTCCAAATTTTTACTTCCATGCATACATTTTATAATTTTGATATTAGGGTTTTGGGAATTTCATTTTAGGTAAAGATTGTGTCTTTTTTGCTTTTTTATTGGTTCTTGAGGTTTCAGATATGTTTTTGAAGTGTTTTTGGAGTTGGGGTTGTTATTACTATGTGGGGTTTTAAATTTGTATTGGGTCTGAAATAATTGGTAGTACTAAAGAAGGAAGTAATAAATATGTTTTGATAAGGTCACTATTCTTGTTTCTAGTAGTTTTGGTATTTCCTTTTTGTTTCAATCTTAGTTTTGATGGCTTTGTATATTTTTGTGGTTGACTTGTAATTATTGTGTCTCTCTATATGAAGTTGTTTACTGTTTAATGTTACCTGTGAAACAAAAATGACAAATGCATTATGATAATTTGTATCTCACTGCAGAGACTTAAGCACCATATAAACTAGTACTTGCCTTCTCGAATGTCGGTTTTCCACTTTGTTTTTGAGTGAAGTAATGGATGATGGATTTCCCGGAGCTTGTCTGATTTGTAATTGAGGCGTAGTTATTTATTGATTGATTGAGTGAAGTGAGAGTACAGCCCACTATGGCAAGACAGAGTTGTGAATGGTCATGCTAAATACGATGTATCTTACATCTTAATTTTGGGGATATTAATTACGAAGATATCCACATTTTTGGAAGAATATAACAATTATGATTACCTTCCTCTTGTTGTCAATTGAACCGAATTAGCTCCCCAGCCTTGTCAATTGGGCCAAAGCTTCATCCGCTTTCTGCATCACCTTAAAGAAGAGTTTTTATGCAATATATTACCTTCATTTTATGCATGTTGGTGTTATTTGAATTTACTTTGCTAAGTTAGTTGCTCTTAATGCTTTCCCTTTTTTTGGTCAAGCCTTCTACCCATGACTCCTGATGGTAACCTTCTATATTGTGTCCTAACGTTTTCCTTCTCATGAATGTAGATTGGTGATTGTCAAGTAGTGAAGAATAATACTATTATCAACACTTCGTGCATGGTATTTTCTTGCTTCCATATAGTTAAGCTCCGTCTGAGTTTTCTGCAGGTGTAATCATGCCATGCTTGTACTCGTTTTAGTGGAATTGTTGTATATAATTGATTTTTGCACTTACCAGGTGCATTTCCGAAGGACATGTGGAGTAGTCCGAAGTAGCGAGGCAAAAAGTCAATCTCTTGGAACTAGACATGGAAAAAATGGAGTAGTTACTTGAATTGCCCCTTTTACTTTGAAATTGAGAATTGGCAAATGCAGGGGTCCTTTTGTTGTGGGGCCAAATGGAGTAATTACTGTAGCTTCCTCGTTTATTTTGAAAATTGAGAATTGATATAAGCCAGCACCAATAAAATACCTTGTGAGTCTTGTGAAACATAGCTAAGACGGGGTCCCTTTGTTGTGTGGCTGCAAGGCCACATGGGTCCACTGCAGCTAGCGGAGAATGGTCCATGGGCCCACACGAGCCCTACTGGCGGACTAATTCAAGCTTCTCGCCAGCACCATCAAGATGGGATTTCCGCTTCCAACCTGAAGCATTATCTTTTGGGTCTAATGATGGAGTTCAATTGTATGGATCTTCCGCGTCGTCAAACAGTAGAGAGAGTAGAGGTTGGGTGAGGGGAAACCAATTGGCCAATCACCAATATCTCGTATCAGATGGTGGTGTTGGTGCATACTATAGTAGTCCGTCAGATATCTCTCCTGCACAACAGTGGACTCCACCAGCTATCCAAGAAATCAATGTTGATGATTATGGTACTTCAAGGAGGGGTAAGCGTATTACTTCTGCATTTTCTTTTGTATATGAGTTAAACTTCTAAGAATGCTTAGCTGGGTTTTTACTCTCTTACTCTCATGCTCTGTTTGTTCTCTCATTACTTGCTCTACTTGTGTTGACTGATTAATCAGCTGATGTTTTTTTCTCGTGTATATGTATATCTTTTTTTTTTCATAGTTTATGGCTTTTGTTTGGAGTTTGATACAAGGTTCTTATTTGTTTACTTGTGCTATCCTGTATTGCTTGTGCATTGGGGTTTTCTATGAGACACTGTGATGCAAGCTAATTTTGGACTGACTTGGTGTCAATCTAAAAAGCCCCAAAATAAATAAATAGATTTAGGTAGATTAAGCCCATCAGCAAACCAAACAGTACATGACTAGTTCTACTCCTAGGTGAAGGGATTTAGCTGTAGGATTTGTAGGTGAAAGATGGGGGAAATGCAAGGGGATTGAAAGTATTTCCTGAGATGCTATGGAACAGAGGACATTTGTCCAACCTTCCAACTTTGGAAAGATGACAAATAGGGTAGTACATGAAATTTCAAAGCATCAGGGGTTGGAAAGGCTAGTATCATTGTATCAATGAGGGATCCCCATTCAGGCTGCAAAAGGAAAAGCGAGAGAACACTTTTTCTTCTTTTCATTACCATTGACAATTGACATGTGGACATATTTCTTGAATAAGAGTATCTCATTGATGTGGTAGTATCCACCTCTAGAATCTTTTGGTATCTCGCCCTGGAAATTTTGTGAGCACATTTTCTAAAATCCATAAGATGGGTTCAGCCATCACTGGGCACCCTAGGTAGAAGGCACAATGCTCGATTGCTTGTGCAAAACTAATTTTGGTATCCTCCAGCCCCCTTTTCGAGTTTTGATGTACCCTTTAGTTGTTTTTCGGGGTGAAGTTTATGAACCAATTTTCTTAGTTTTACATCCTTGGTATTTTGTTGAAATGATGTCTAATTGATGATGAAATAAGGTAGCGATTTTGTGCTATTGATCTGAATTCTTGAGGATAATAAGCTTTGCCATTTAGGGTTCGAGGTGCTAATTGGGATGCGGTTAGAAGGAAAAATTGCCCTAACACATTAGGAGAGAATCATGTCCTTTGGTTAAGTAAATTGGCGCTAGTAGTGCACTTCTTTGCTGAAGGCACGCTCAGGAGTTTGGTCCATACATATGGGTCACTAGAAGAATTGTAGGAATAAGCTAAGATTGAAAATTAGTTTTCCTTAGAATTCCTGGATTCTTTGTAGGATGACAATAGTTTTGATTTTCCGTATTGTGATTCTTTAGTGGATTAATTGACTGGCCTTTGGTTTGGGCATTTTTACCTAAAGTTCCTTATTACCTGCAATCTTTACTCAGTTAAATTTCATGAACATTGACTTTTCCTATGTTCTTATGCACAGCATGTTTTTGAAAATTATTTATCATCCATAATATTGTGCAAGATATTGTTTTTGGACTCATTAAGATGCAAAAACAATTATGCCTGGCTATATCAATCCTCTATATTATTTTGAGCTGTATTTGGGTTAGTCTCATTCTGATCATGCTCCAGCACGTCCAATACTATGAAGATTCATCTTGATTTGACTTTTTCTACGGCGACCTTAAACATATTGCAACCTTCATCTTTATCCGTGCTTGCAGTACTTAAGATGAATGAAGGAAAAATGAGTACATTTGCTCAGTATTCAGTCTGAGAACTTCCATCCGAAGGATTCTCCTTTTCCCTTCTCTCTCTTTTTCATTGTAATAAATCTTTCGATAGCCACCGTCATGAAAGAAAAGGTTGTGTAGGGCAGTAGTGTTCTGAGTGAGCTTTTGCTCGTCTGCCACAACTGTTGCTAACAAGTATTTTGTGGCAGTTTTGTAAAATACAGAACCTTCAGGCGATATGCTTTAGGTGTGAGTGATTCATTTTTGTAATAATTTTGATTCAACCATTTATGCATTTATTTGTCAAGGGAACTTTGACCGAGCGAGCAATCCCTTACCAGTAATTCCTCCATAGTATTCCTGTACTAGGGTGACTACTGGATGTTGGCTTCTAGGCAAATAAAGATCCGTGCTCTCCATTCTTTCCTGCACGGAAACAACTGGGTTATAATTCTTGTCCACCATTGGTGAATGGTGCCAAATCCTTTAGGTGCTTCTTTTCGCTTCTTTTTCTGACTAACATCCTATACTCTGGTATATAAGAATATGGCAGGTGGATGTCTTTGTCAAAAATTAGCTGTAAACAGGTTCGGGGCTTGGCACATTCCATAATGCCCCAAATGGAACACTGAGTTTTAGAAAATTTTGGTAGATTTCTTTCTCCTGGCTTCCCTTTACCTTTTTGCACATTCTCTAGGTTTATGATGTTAATTAAAAAATTAAAACTTTGTTTGTGATACTAATTTATTTTTGAAACGTTAGTTAAATAAGTCTTAGTTGGGCTCTCAAAAATGTGTTGACAGCTAATTTACAAAAACATAGTCAACTTGATACTGAAGCAATGTAACTTTAATCTGTTGCCTTGTAGTTATGCTCTATCTGAAATTAATATTTCTGCTAACTGAAGGTCATCGGTTAACAAGATACAGGTAAGGAGTGTAGGAGTTACTCTTCATCGTGATATATGGACTATCTGGAGTAGACAAAAAGACAATCGAATGTGTAAAATCAAAGACTTATCTAAAGAGACACCCCCCCTCCCCCACCAATGAGGTTGTAGTTTAAAAGAAATTGGTCCGTTGTGGTTTCAAAATACACCTGCTTTCTTTAAGTCTTATGTAGCAAACATGTTGCAGCCTTAGTTGTTTGTTTGCCTTGCACAAATTAGTTTGTTCTTTCTTGGTTTTGTGTAACAGAACTTTCTTCTCTCAGTCTTTTATCCCTCAAGTTAATCTTACAATTCTATATAAAGTGGCAACTCTTGATAACTTGGAGAGAAAAAAGAGATGTTGACAAGGAAGAGGAAGAAGGTATTAGGTCGGGTTAATTATGTGTCACAAGTGTTGAAAATTTGTACCGACATGCGACAGTGTAGGGTTGAGATGAAATCTTGGATAATTTGGGAGATACAAGACCATCATATAAGGTGGCAACTCTAAATAACATATATACTTATTTCCAAAAAAAAAAAAAAGAAGAAAAACTCTAAGTAACATATTAGATATATTTCACAAGTCATAATACGCTTAAACACCAAAAAGTTGACTCAAAAATAATTACCAATGCCTCCTGGGCTTTGGTTCAAGGGCAGTGCATTGCAACACAAGATGCGTTGTAGGCGACATCACAAGTTCGAACCCTGCTAAGGAATGTAACTAAGTTTGTTTTTAAGGTAGATAGAGGACTCATTATCCACTGAGTTTTGAAGCTGGAAGCTGTGTTCTCGATTATTTCTATGAAAGGACAGTTACCAACATCATATAGGATAGAAAGCCAGTCTATCTTAACATGATATTGAATTAGTTTTTCATTACATTGTAATAATATGGACTGAAACTCTATGGTTGACCATGCTCCCTTTTCCGATGTCTAAGTTTATGGTAATTTCACGTTGAGCGCTGTCAAAGGTAGCAAGTTAATGTGCTTAAAGAATCAATTCTGTTACTGCTTCTGAAACATTTGGCTTATTGGTTTCAGCCAATACTCTTTTACTAATGCCACCGTTCTGGATACTTCATATCTACTGCTAATTTTGCTTACTTTTTGCTTGGTAGATGCAATCTTGAGGCCATTTTCATTTTCACCCACAATGGAGGTATGCATTTGCTGTTCTCCGCTGTCTGCATTCTTTTGATGTTTGTTAGTTTAAATCCAGCTTTCTCATGACATGAATTTCTTTATAGGGAACATCAACTGCTAGGGATGGTGGAGGCTCAACTTCATCCCGATCTGACAATAGTGATTGTGATTCAATCACCAAGTCCCATTCGTCTCATCGTAGCTTCCCAAGTCGCCGTTTCTTTATGTCTAAACCCATACATCCTCTGTCATTTCCAACTGAAACACCTAGAAGAGAAGCTATTGACAGCCTCTCACCTGGTTTTTTAGAACTTGATACCTCAACACCACAAAGAGATAAACACCGCTTGAGCAGTGCTAGTGGCAGTCTTGACCTGACAGAGGCTTCAGAATCCTTTCAATCTGAATTCCTAAGTAAACCTTGTAACCCTTCAGATGGCTTCAGATGCGGGTTATGCGAGAGGCTTCTCTCGCAGAGATCGCCTTGGAGTTCTCGACGAATTGTGAGAAGTGGAGATATGCCAGTTGCTGGGGTTCTTTCATGTCTCCATGTATTTCATGCTGAATGTTTGGAGCAAACTACACCAAAATCATGTAAAAGTGACCCTCCGTGCCCCATATGCGCCAAGCTCGAAGATGGTAGTTCTCCGGAGCAGCGACCTTTTTCCAAGTTCTTTCCTAGGCTTAAAACGTTCAATGAAGACGGACCATCCAAGCCTTGGGGCTGTTCTTATTCCGGAGATTGTGTTGAAGGGGCCTTGCAAGCACCATCTCGGAGCACTATGCTCTCACTAAACAAGAACCGGTTTAGGAAGAATCTTTCTTTGAAGGGTAATTTGGGAAAGGAATTTCCAGGGAAATTAAGAAAAACTAATACATTTTCATCACAGCTATTTATTGGGTCAGTTGATCAGGCAATGGTGGGATCTTCAAAAGCAACAGCAAGTTCTGGGAAGAAGTAATAACGGAATTTTGTATATAATTGCAGGCTGATTTCCATGGCCTTCGGCCGTGGTTCTCCTAAAGCTAATCCTGTTTATTGAATCAGAATGTTTAATGGCTTAATCATGTTGTAAAATGTAATGTAGAGGAAATTTTATTTGCACTTAAAGGGCATCAAACAAATTGCATGTTTTGTTGTAAGTTTAAAACTGGTCTTGATCATTGTATCAGAATTTGTATACCTAATGTGGCGAAAATTGTGATTTGCAAGTTGTAGGCATCAATTGACTTATCTTTTGTGCATCAAGTGCATGATTTTTGTAAAATCTAGGTCTTCCATGGTTTGCAAATTTTGCCATGAAACTCTGGTTAGAATTCCACTTGGATTGTGGTTAACTGGTCATGCAGTTTCAGTTGGCTGATTGATTGACTTGTTATTTTCCATATACAAAGTTGCACTTAATGATGGTTGCATAGCATTGATGCAAGGTGACTGAAAGCTTCAATTCCGTGTGAGATTGGGGTGAATGATAACATAGTGATTTTAGGTGTAAATTTCAGTTTTAACACTCAGTGTAAGATCATATGTTCCAGTTTTGCACTATTCATTAACAGAGGTACACACCACTGTTACGACAACAATAAATGTGTGCTCTTCTTGTACGACTTGCCATCATTATTTGTGGGAACCTCATGGTACATTGTGAGATCGTATGTTCTAGCTTCACACGATTCATTAGTAGAGGTACGTACAAGCTGGCTTGAACCACTGTTGTGTCAACAATAAATGTGCGCTCTTCTTGTATGACTTACCATCATTATTTGTGGGAACCTCATGGTACAGTGTGAGATCGTATGTTCCAGCTTCACACGATTCATTGGTACATTGTGAGATCGTATGTTCTAGCTTCACACGATTCATTAGTAGAGGTACGTACAAGCTGGCTTGAACAACTGTTGTGTCAATAATAAATGTGCGCTCTTCTTGTATGACTTACCATCATTATTTGTGGGAACCTCATGGTACAGTGTTAGATCGTATGTTCCAGCTTCACACGATTCATTAGTAGAGGTGTGAGATCGTATGTTCCAGCTTCACACGATTCATTAGTAGAGGTACGTACAAGCTGGCTTGACACCATTGTTACGACAACAATAAATGTGCGCTCTTCTTGTAGTGCGCTCTTCTTGTATGACTTGCCATCATTATTTGTGGGAAACTCATGGTCCACTTTCATGTTTTATATCGTGTTATTTATTAGCTCTGAAGTTTTCTACGAAAAGACCATCGTGTTCAACAGTGAAAATGCTGCCTTTTGCAACTTTTGATGCTAAGTCCAACTCCAATATTCAACCTTTCCACTTCTCTTATGCTTGTTTGAGCTTTGTCAAGAATAACAACACAACAATCATTATCTGGGCCAAAGAAAGCTCCTCTTGCAGTAAAGTTCCTCTCTTGCAATAAAGTCCATGTTGGCCATTTTTTATGGCCATTCATTTTCACAAAAATGGAAATAGTTGCATGAGAGGTTTGAGGATTTAGAGGGGAGGAGTAAAGAAGGGGGACCAATTAAATGTATAGCCCACTCTCATGTGCTATGTCCGTGTGACATAAGACAATTGTATCGTACCGAGGGATCCGGTGGAATAGCGAAATTCCGTCGTCCTTAATCAGAGGTATCGAGTTCAAGGCCCGTAAATGTAGAACTTCTTGATAGGGAGCGTTTTATCTCCTTAGTGGGCCTATCTGGCGCAAACTCAAATTAATCAGACCGATATTCGAATGTCCAAAAAATAAAAATAAAAAATTAGACAAGTGCACCTGTATTTAGAAACAGGACACCAGCTGGTGCTTAATCTTTGGTCTATTTTTTCTCCAATCTCAACTCCACATTATCTATATGCCAAGTTGCTCCATTTTAACAAATTTTGACAAACTTTTCTATCTTTTCTTTAGTATGTTCAAAACCTTGTCATATTCCATCAATTTGCTCCATTGAGATAAACCCTTTATCTAGATGATAAATTTACGGTGAAAATGCCACCATAATTAATTGTTTTTTTCTCCTTTTTTAAATATTCAAAATACAGTTGATATTGCTTATTCCTTTCTAGTGGACAAAGCTAGTCGAATGTCTAATGGAAGAATTTTGGAGTGTGAAAGGCATTTAAGGATTTGCTAAGTGAAATGGTCCTCAACAAATTGCCAACACATTTGAACCAAATATGTGTATAAAATATGATGAGCTATGGGACATAACAATCTCTCTTTTATTATCCGAAAGACCCCATTTATCACTGAGGGTCGTGGTAGGATGAATAAGATTCCTTCGCCCTTAATTAGACGTCTCATGTTCTAATGAAAAAAAAAATCATGTAGGAAGCATTTACTCCTTTAATGAGCTTTACACGGTTGCGAATTTGAATTGGTCAGAATTCTAATACGGGTAACCGACACCAGGTAGAAACCGCGAAACAGAAGTCTGCTTGCGTTTGAGGCAATTGTAACGTAGGATTCCTCCCTTCGTTCAAAAGGTTCTTTTGCTTACTACGTAACTTTAAAAACGTAATAATCAAGCAAAGGATAATATGTTGAAAGGTCGAATCTTCTCAAGAAAAATCTTAGTTCTTCAATTCTTTGGAGCCCAATTGCTTTGTTAATTAAAAAAGATAGGTTTAATTTCTAAGCACGCTTAGCATACTTTTCTTTACACTATTAGGTCAATTTAAAGGTTTTTGTTTCACCTGATGTCCGGTATCCGCACGGTAGTCTCGACTAATCCGTATTCACGTAGCATAAGGCCTATTAAATGGGGAAAACGCTCCTTAGCAAGATTTTTTTTATACCAAATCGTGAATCTCAAACCTCTGATTAAGGGTGGAGACGAAATCCTATCTATCTTACCACAATTATTGATGGTAAGTTAAAGGTAATTAAAGGTAACACCTATAAATAATGAAATTATTGACCTTATTCGGTAGCATTTACACTATGGTTAAATATAAGATAAATCCAAAGAATGAAGAGAAAAATATGATAAGTAATTCTAGTACAAGGTTGTTATCTGCGTTATAAATGTGCCATTGAAGTTTGAATGGCCCCATATCATATTGTGGTCCAAATAGTTTCAGTACACAACAAAGTCCTATACTTAAACCCTTAAATTTATATGTTTTTTTTTTTTTAATTGTAGACAAAGGAAAAGGTTGAGGTATAAAAATTGGGTTTTCCTTCTTTAAGGTAAATAGTACAGTATATGATACATTAAGAAGTTCTTGGCTGACAAGAGTGGGTTGCTCTAGTGGTGAGCACCCTCCACTTCCAAGCAAGATGTTGTGAGTTCAGGTCTTCGGAAACAGACTTTCTACCTCAGGGTAAGGGTAAAGTCTGCGTACAATATACCTCACAGAATAACTACACAAATTGGTATTATAAGATTACAAAGGCCAATTTTACCAAAAACTATTGCAATGTGAAATGAGTACACAAATTGGTTGTATAATATTACAAAAAACTATCTGTCTTGCTTTTGTTTCCTTCTTTTTGAACAACCTTCATTTGATATTTCTTCCCCCAAAATTAAAATAAGAAAAGGTGAAGAAATTTCAGGGGGATTCTTTCTATTTTTCCAATCTTTGGTGGGCAGATTTACTCGGTACCTGTGTTGGTAGGCGATAGCAGGTGCACGGTTAAATAGACGAGATGTGTGCAAGCTAGTCCAGACACCAACATAAAAGAAAGAAACGGTTAGGCATCCTTAGACGAAAAAGTGGTCTTTCAGGATTGGTCGTTCTGTGTCGCCACCTCTCACTTATCCTACACATTCGATTAAGGTTGTCACTGCGAAGCTACAATTGAGGTGCACGGGGTCTTACCGTCTAGCCGTTAGTACTCCGTATCTTCCCAGAGAATTCAATTTCACCGAGTCCATGATTTGTTAACAACTCGAATTTTAAGAAAAAGGAAAATAAAGGGGTTGTTAGTGTTAGTTGGAACATTAGATAGGAGAAGTTATTATGTACATTCAGCTAAGTACACTGAGAAAAGCTCTTTTCTTGATGCAAAGTGTAAATAATGCATGTGGCTACATGTGACAATGGGGCCATTGTGCTATTAATTGAGCAAACAAAAAAGGCAACAAAAACCATTCAAAATTGACTTGTTCATGGGCTCAAACATGCTGGCCCTTACATGTGAAAAACTGTTCTCAAGCAACAATTGTTGCCTAAATCATATTAAATTCTACTGTTGCAATGTTTGAATATTTATCTATGCTACATTAATTTTTCATTCGACTTGATATAAACGAGTCACACTGATATAGCACGGATATTGATACTTTATGACTATTCTTCAAAATGTACTATTTTATAAGTTAGTCAAAGATTATAGAGATATACATTATCCGGACATAGTAGCGGATCCAACAATGAGTTTGCCGATCTAGTAGAATCTAGCGTTTCTAGTCGAACCATGTATACATGCGCGAAAAAAAGTATATATAGAATTAGATGTGCATTTCAGAACTCTCTCTCCAAACTTAGAAATCACAACGTTTAAATTTTGAATCGACCAATGATCATATGCATGTAACATATATGTATTTTCTAACCTTAGTGCAATTCTTTGAAAAGTGCTAATCAGGTTTTGTCAAACAAGTGGGCTATTGCTTATGTTAGTGCTTACTTGTTTCATGAATGTGTGAGTTGTGCATTAACCCATTAACAATAGTAATTTGATTTTCTTTTCCTTAGATATCTATTGCTATTTATGTATGCTTATTTTAAGTCGAGAGTCTATCAGAAGTAGCTTTTCTATCTACATAAGGTACGAGTAATGTTTCGTACTCACTACTCTCCTCAAACTGCACTCGTAAGATTACACTAAATTACCTATTGTTATTTCCTCTTTGTAAGGGTGATGCCAAAATCAAATTTATTATAGAGAATTGATGATTTCAAGCATAGTTTTAATTTGGGCCACTCATCCCATGTGCATACTATTGTTGATATATCTTCTTCGGTGAGAGCCTATAGGTTGTTGTCACTTTAATAGAATAGGTGAAACCTAGCCAGTTGTTAGCCATCATACAACTTTAATAAGTCTTTAACCCACCGAGAAATTTTTAAAAAAATACTAAAGTTTTTATGAAAAAGAAACTTCAAAAGGACTTTCTTCATATTACATTTCATACGATGCCCTTTAGTTTGATATCAATATATATTTGGGAAAATTTCACATAAGAACAATTGGGATCCCTACTTTTTAATTTTATAGCCTATATTTCAATTTATAACCAACTAGCC